AAACCACTCAACAACATCAAAACAACTGCATTAAAGAAAAATTCAAAAGAACTGATGTTTCGATTATAGAAAACAGGATGCTAAATGACCACATCACTTGCCTAAATGAGAAAGTAAGATGAGGTACAGGAAGTTGTTTACATATTAACTCAAACACCAAAAATAGGTCTCATATTCTTCCGTTCAGAATCCCCATAATTATAAATTATGACTTCGAAATGGCCATGAAACAATTTCACATACCGAGAATCTTATAACCAGTAGCAAGTGTGTTTAGAGCAGCTTTCCTGATTTCACCATCTCTTTCTGCAGTCAAGCTTGCAACCATTTGCAAGGATTTAAACAATCCATTGACCTGCTTCAAAAAAGTAGTAAATAAAGGCACCCAAAAAGCTCCATGAATATCCAAAAGGACAATATATATAAGCTTCTTCTCGTACCTCAGCTCCACGATTCTCAATCAAAAACCCAACAAGATCAACACATTCTATCCGAGTGCGGTTGTTTTTAGAACGCAAACCCTCCAAAATATAAGGATAAGTTTTTATTGCCGAATAATAGTGGACTATCTGCTTTGTCAGTTCACGCATCTTTTCTCTAACTTTCTCAATGTTATGCCCCAACTGCAGTATAGAAAACATAAATTTCAGCAAATCTGGATCTGAAAATTACTCAATTGTCAAATACTAAACCCATAAAAAGAACAAAGCAAACAGTGATGAGATATTCATCAAAGAGAAACTATCAACACAACCATAGAAGAAACAAGTAAGAAAAAGGGAGGAGTTCATTTTCGGCTATGAATGGACAAAAATGATGTTGTTGACGAGGACTAACCTTCTCAATCAAGCAAGGAAGAAATATGGCAGCTTCCGATTCGGTCATAGAGTATGCCTCATCCTTCAATATATCAAAAAGTTCAGGAAGAACTTCAAGTACCTGATTCAGTCGAAGAATCATGGAAATCAATAATCATAAGCCAAGGTTCTTGTGTTAGATTCACAAGAGAGCAGATTTTCAATACAACGAAAAGCAATCAGATAAGAAAAACAACCCACACATTCAACAGGCATGTTGTGTTAGATTTACAGAACTGCAAAACAAACCACCTCAAAAGTATATCCAAAACTTCAACTATCTCTTTTCGAACAGATGGAAGCGCCTGCATTCAAACAACCTTTTGAATAACACAGCTACCCAAACAACTCAGAAACAGATGCACAAATGTGACAGTAAAATACCTTCTGCAGCATCTCAAGCCCATCAACTTGCTTTTTGAAATCTGTGCTTAACAACCGCCTGCTCAAATCCTCCCTAAAATATTTCACCATATCATTCTGCAATGAAGCCAAATATCATATTTAGCACAACGAAGCAACTGAAGAAACAAATAATTTTAAAATGATTTTGTGAAAAGAGACCTCAAGATCTTGTATCTGTTCTAACCGTAGCTCTTCAAACTTAACCTTACGAACCACCATCCTCTCTCTATCTTCCTGTACATGAGAAAGTCTGAATTACATCTGTTCTATTAATATGATAGAAAATCAGTAGAAATGTCAGTCTTCTGTACATTAAAGTACCTTATTTGAATCCTTGATACTCAGCAAAACCTGAGAGTGAACAGCTATATCATTAACAGAAGCAATTGACTCTGGTCTTGAGCCCTTCATTGGAATGATTCTCTTTCAAAGACACAAGAATAACAATCAATTAGCCAATTAAGTTTTACAACTGATGTAATTCAAATGACTGCTAAACTTACTGAAGATATAGCTCTATTAGCATGCTTTGAGACACCATTGGAAGCAGCTTTTACAACTTTGGAGCTTCCTCTAGAAGTCACTCCCGTCGAATTTGCTTTTGTAGATTCAAAAGATTCTAGGATAAATAATGCAACTTAGCTATCATTAAAGACCGAGCAGGGAAAATAACAGAACAAAATGAAAAGATCAAAATTACCTTGAATGATGCCATAGGGTTTCAGTCGTTCAAGAATAAGTGCTAAAGCTGGTCCATGGATATCTTTAAGATTTTTCTCAACCTGAAACGATACATGTGCATGAAGAAAAATGTTTATATATGAATCTAACCTCAAATAGGGAAGAAAAGCACCAGAGTTCTAGTGCACATACTGTTTCTTGTCCGCTAACTCTGAGAATTTCAGAGACGCAAGCTTCTGCTGCTTTTCGTACATCTGATAATTTGTCCTAAAAAACATTCAAGCATTCAGCAAAATAGTAAAAATATTAACATTACATGCCTATACCATGATCCAAAAAAGGATAGTGAAAAAAATTTAAAATCATCAAGTTAAATAAATCTACCGTCATAGCAGAGCTGGCTGGTTTCAGCAGATGCACAGCATCAGGAAAATCACTTAATCCAGCAAGTTGCTTTGACAACCAATCAAAAAGATCCTTACGCCCTTCTGCACCGAGTTTGGTATCCATCAAAGCTGTCGTAACGTAAGGAATCTACAAGAATAAAATAGTATTAATTTAAAGTAGACCTATATTGAATGGAAGCATGAAAATTTCTCAAAGTAAGCCCCAATAAGTTACCATTTTATCAAGATGAACAGCAGCAAGCCAGGAATCAAGTGCATTCAAAGTGCATTCTCTCATATGCTTCTTGTTGTCACCAAGACATTTCAAAACATCAGATAGAATACCCTGAAAGAAACAACTCTGAAGTTCATATTTGTCAAATATAAACATATATGGAAGTTAATGAAGTTGTAAAGGACCAAAACCTTGCTTGACTTCTCAACAGGAAGTCCCATTGCAGATGAAACACCACCAATAGTTGTCAGAGTTGCCATAACTATATTTTTGTTGCTATCATAAAGACGACCTCTAAGAGCACCAAATAACTCTCCTAGCAGTGAAGAAAAAAATAATAGTAATACAGGAAAGACATATAAAGTATCTAGGAAAATTTCAGATATCTAGAATTTTGACAACCCTTGTACAAACGAAAAAAATGCAAGGAAAGTTCATACCAGTTCCAGTTGGCTGAATACGCTTGTTAGCATCCTCCAGAATTTTATTTACAGCTTCAATTGACTCCAAACGGATCTGAGATGAAAAATTGCCAAAACAATAATAATGAAGGTCATTCCACTATTCAGAGGAAATATCCATAGGAAAACAGAAATATGACAAAAAAGAAAGCATTGATAATATCATACCTTCCAATCAGGACTTTCCAAGCTCTTTAGCAGAGTGGGAGTAATCTTTCCGCTAATATCTTCACGTGGCAGGCCATCCAGCCCACCTGCAGACGTTGCCATTGTGGATACTGATGACTTAACAGTCTTCTTTGTAACTGCAGAAGCACCCTGAAGCATGACAAGTGAGGACAGCAGGAATCCACTGAAAAGCATCACTTAAATGGGCAGCAGCTATCATATATACCTCATATGGATTTTTCTCATACTCAGCATCAAGTGCAGTAAGCAATGCTGGTTTGACATCTACAAGAAATCCTTTGATATCTGCATAGGAAAAACACACACATACAAGTACATAACTAATAAACTCAATGAAGACATACTACTTTTTCGAAAAAACAAATGTCTCACCTGGACCAACAAATTTATGTAAAGAACCCAAAAGCTTAATTGTAGCATTTCTGGTGGCAGCTGCACTGGATTGCAGTCCAACATCCTTACAGAAATCAATTAATTCCTGTAAAATAACAACATATGTATCTCTCTTTAACATCAACAATAAATAAATGACAGATGAAAATAAACTGTAAATTTTCAAGAAGCTAAAATATTGTGATGGAAAAATCATGAAGACCTTAAGCTTCAGATGTGCCACACCAAAGTCTTCGACTGCAGAAACCATCCACAATAACCCTTCACTAAGAACCTTTGGATTCTTGTGCTCTTTCATTATTTTGTAGAGCTATAAAACAAAAAATTCGAAGACATTATTGAGACATGTTCCAATTAAAACAAAAAAAAGCAAATAAGTTTCTGCCACAATTACTCTTTCGAAAATAAATCCTGGACCAACTGCTTCAGAAAAAGTAGTAAGACATTTCATAGCATGGGCACGAGTCTTGATATCAGCCACTCGTTCACTTATGCCTGTCAATTATGCAAATAGGACAGATTAGGGCCTGGATTGGAATCTATTAAGTAAAATAAGCACCACTAAAAACATCCATTTTATTAGAAAGCCAAACGAATTAACCTAGAAACAATTCACTGATTAATTCAAAAGCAAAACTCCATGTGACTTAACACCCACCCAAAAGGCAAAGTACAATGCATTTCTTCGGAAACTTTGTCGCAACAGAAGCTATGTGAGCGATAACTTCAATAACCTGCTGCTGAACCTGCATTTATTAAATTCTTTGGTTGATACTCTTCTTTATTCCAAACTAGGAAAAGTAAGAAACCATAAGACAATCTGATGATAATCAAATAACAATGCTTAACCAGCAAGTTAGTAAATTCTGTGGATGTACTCCAGAAGGGGGAAATGTTTGAAAATAAAGAAAGAAGATAATCTGATGATTTAATAAGAAAAAATAAATAAAGAAAGAATATTGCATACCTGAACATTTTTCTCATTCCAACCAGGAATAGCACAAAGTAGACGAATCAAAATCTCAACGGACTGATCGAGGTCCTGTATACCTTCAACCTTTTGTTTTAATGACATCATTGCTGCAACAGACGAAAAAAGATCATGATATAGAAAAACCTCTGCGATTCAGATCTGTCAATTCTTTGAATAAAACTATTTATAACTTTCTATTACAGTTTTTCTGCTTTCTACAATCTAAACTTGTTAGAAGGTTTACTCTTTTCACCCAGATCTCTTTATCTGAATGCTGAATATTTTGGCACCCAATGACATAAATGAAACTTCTTTTGCTCAGTTTCCTACTATGCACCTTTGGTACATGAGAAAAGGGTGGATTGAATCATTTTTGTTGCATAGTAACACATTCACTTTTGGGTTCACAATAATTGAGACGAGTTAATTGTAGTCCAAGTCTAGCGATTTTGTTAACGTCATAATTCATGTCTTCACATAAAATCTTATTTTCTTTTTCTGAAAATGAGGATAACACTGAAATGCACCAAGGGGGTACAACACATCTGCAAAAGCTATACAAGACAAAGAAGCAAGGAGTTAGTTAAGCATCAGCCAAGAAATAAGTGAGCTCCTTAAAGACTTCTCCATCAAGGATAAAATGACTATTTTTGTTTCTGATTTTTAATGAGGATTAAATATTGATTGTTTTGGAGAATTACTATTTCTACTTTTCTTTTTGAGTAAATAACATGAGTATTATTCACAAGGTTCCAAAGGAATGCCCCTTGTATAAAAGGCATATGCACAAGACTATTAGCCAAAATATCTACGGGATCCCCAATATCCTTCCCATCAATGAGAGAATAGCTACTGAACAACACACACAGAGTTTGGGACCAATGATCTAATGTGAGCAATCTGCACGTAACTTCCATTCCATTTCTGCAATTAAGAACTAAAGGACCCATTAGAGATTTTATGGAATTGGTGATTTATTTATTGAAAAACATTTTATTCACAAAAAAGAAAAGAAAATTCATGGTCATCCTCTCAATGAACTCCATCTGTAAAATACAAGTTAGATTAGATAAAACAACAAAAAGCAGCCAAGAAGTGTAACAAAAATCAAGATACAACGTATAGATCAAGCCTATTACATATTTAACTATAGTTGCAGGTGCAGTATGTGGTCCAAGACAACCATCCATGGGTAAATTCTAGTTGCAAAATTAAATAATGATTTTAACCAAAAGGCTTCGAAACTTTGAAGAAGGCACTGATAAGGAGATCCCAAGCAACAGCATTATGACTGTGGGGAAAGATAGCAGCAAAAAATAGCAATAACGACAATAACCACCAACCTTCAAGCCGTTCTTTCCATACAGAGCTCTTCAACTGAGAGATAGTATCTGTCTGAATAAGAGAACCTAGTCTACTTTCAATCTCTTCAAGACTCATGTCCACAGGCTGCAAATACAAAATAAACCGATAGGGAAGTATCAGGACCCAAACTAGTAATGCATTGCCCAAAGGCACCAACAGATGCCACCTGGGTAGAAAAAATTGTTGACTAACAGCATTAATCTTTCGACTTCAGCCAATGTTATAGCTTCACCTCAATGTCTTCAGGTGGTTCAGCTGATTTTGAAGTCTCTAACCGTCCAGAACCATCCCCTTTTTTATTACCAGCCAATTTTACTGAGCCACCCTTTTTGTTTGCAGGCTACACGAAACAAAAATTTGGTGAGCAAATGTCAAAAGACGATATGGTAACATTTCTGTCCTATGGCCTCCTCGCTCAACATGCCCCACCTCCCCCACCCCCACAAAAGAAAAGAAAATAATAAATTAATGATATAACAGAAATTTCCAATGCCTGCACAACCAAGATTGTCTTTTGATAAACAAAAGTCACCTGCCACCTCATCGAGAATAACAAAATGTTAATAATTATAATTCAGAAACCTTGTCCCCCACGGCCCAATTGTGTCCCAACCCTCAAAATATAGGAAAATAAATGAATAACTCACAAGAGCAGAAGCAGGTCTTTTCCCACTTAACATGCTTGCTGCTGACCTTCTAACAAAGGAGGCTTCTGAAGTCTGCACAAATTTAACAAAATATTGAGGCATAAGCACTTGATCTACATGCATCCAGAAAAACCTTGGGGGCACACTAACAAATAACCCACAAGGAAGAAAACAGTGTAAAATTCAAGCATGACTGGTGTGCAACAAAAATTATAAGTTACCTAAACATCAGTGCCAATGGATAAGAAATGCATTGATCGAACTTCATAAACTGTTTCCTTCTATATTCAACTTAAATATAAACCAGCACATGAACTAGGTAGTTCTTTAACATTTTTGGAGAAATAAATTATTGTCACAAAAACATCGGCGACCTTGTAATTTATTACGCAACGTATAGAAAAATAAGTGAAAATTTTCCACAAAAAGTCATTCATTACCTAACATTTTTTGGTGACTTGAGAAAAAACATCAGCTTTCTAATTTTCTACAACAGAAACTTAAACAAACAAATAAGTAAAACATCAAAAGAAAATTACTGAAATAACTTGGGAAAATAATCGCAAACAAGTCACAAGCTAGCTAATGAACTTAAGAATGCACTAAAAACAGGACTTGTGGCAGATGTGTGCAAGAGAGATGCCAACCAAGATAAAAAGCATCGCCTGAGAAACACCAAGTTGAGCGTACCTATCCATTTAATTAACATTTTAAAATCCTCCCTAGACATTCCAAGACATTAACTCAGATCCAAATTATAGAAAATAAGCCTAGAAGCAAATATATTAGACATCCTGAGAGAGAAATCGAACAACCTACCTCAGTAGAAGGCACGCTCCCACCTAATGATTTGAACTGGCACTGACATACCATGATAGGACATTAGCGGAAAACTTGGTAAAAAATTATACACACATATATACAAATCAAATAATTTCTGACAGTAAGTAAATAAAATATTTTACAGATGTAAAATGAAACTTCCACAGACCTGAGCTTGTGCTAGTAGATGTGCCACCTCCAGAACCTCCAATCATTTCTGAAAGTTTCTTTCTTCTTACATCATCAAGTTTCTCTAATAATCTCTCCAAAGGTCTCATACCAACAGACTATTAAAATAACCATACAAAAAATGAAGTTGAATCACGAAACTAAATTTGGACCACTTAGCAATACACACACACTTTCTATGCCCTCAAATATTACCTTTGCTATCGCTGCCAAAGCTGAAAAGGCTGCATCCCGCACTTCTGGTGTACCATCATTGAGGCACTGCAATATTTAAATTGTTTTAGGGAACTAAATAAAAATAAAAGTGAAAGTTTCCCTGATCCCTCAATAACATTTTATCAGTAATCTGTTGTTTCTGAATATCCTAATTAGTTTACCAGTCTAAAAAGATCAAACCATAGTATATTTGCGATTTAACATAAACAACCTCGAGTCTTTTTCTCTAATACCAGCACAACATTTTAATAAAGCAGAGCCCTGTAGGTTTCTGACAGATAAATGAAATGACATATTAACTGTAAGAACAAATCAATAGTGGATTGTGTTAACTGTAAACTGGAATACAACTAAAATGACATATAAACTAGAATTTGAGAAAAAAAACTAAGTCAGAAGAACTATAATCTGCATAGCACTGTGGATGCTTCCCCAAGCCTTCTCCCGAACACCCTCAAAGGTTTAGGCCTAAAAACATGTTACATAACAAAGTGATCAAAGACATTTTTTTTCTTTTACCATCTCAAAGGAAAAGAGCATTCAAATAGAAAGCTGACCACTGTAGCAGGTGAACAATCCACTGACTAAATCATTACCTTGTCAAAAAAAAAGCACAAAGGTTTCTGATGGTATAAAAAGTTTACTATGAAGCTAGGAAGACGGAATAAATTTTCAGAGTTAAAAGGCTAAAGTTCCAGAATGATACACAAGACCTTAAGGCATGGATGTACTAACCTCCATCATGATAGAGACATAATCCTTATGCACCTTCAGAATAACAGCTTTTTGACTTGTTTCAATGCAATACGTAACCCAGTTCAAAGTTAATGAGCGCACAAGAGGAACTTTATTTTTCACTGCCGTCTTAATATCTGCAGTAAGCGGCAATTATCATAGTTTTATTTATAGAATAATCTTTGTGAATATAACATCCACAACAAATATCCATCTAGTGCCAAATGGAAAATGATCACAAATTTAATGAGTGGAAGTAGCTTGAGCAACCACTTTGCTTATAGAGCATGAACATACAAGATCCTATATGTCATTTCATTGATTGAGGCTTAAGAAAAAAGGAGAACACATTCTAGTATATAAAATGAAAAATATCGTTGATGAACTACCTGAACCTTATAATTCATCAGGCAGGTTGTTCAGGTTATAGCAAAAACCGTGTGAAAAAAAACACCTCAAAGAAAAATATTCCACATGCAAAAGGGATATTAAATGGCTGGCAAGAAACTTGCCTTCAACAATGTCAGCAAGATTTAAGCACCCAGATTTATGCATTGCTTGAAGAGTTTGTGTAAGTGATTCTGTCAATGTAGGTTTTTTCTCTTTCAATTTTTCCTATGAAAAAAGAAACGTGTTAGACAAGCAATAGCTTGATGAGATGAATTCAGAAATTAAACATACACAATCAGAATAAACAGATCATTCAGAATTTTGAGGACACAATTAACTCTTAACAGCAGCAAAAGCAAATCTTCTCAGTGTTTTACATTACATTTTTTCATAAACATAAAACACCATAATGACTAACAAGATGAGAAACTAAGACATGAAAGTAAGCACTACCAGAAAAATAAATCTATTGTCATGCCCAGAAGCCATTATTTGTTATCATAAAAGCAATGATCACGAGTTAATTGAAGCAATTAATCAAAAATGGCATTCTTCTCCAAAATTAATCAAGAGTAACCCCTTCTAATAACACTTGTGCAAAGCAGAAGTGGAGTCCAAATCACAAAACAATATTACCATAATTTCAAATACAAAGTGAACAAATAGGAGTTGCTATTTATTTTTATTCCAAAAGTAACAATGAAAAATGATTAAAACAATTGAACAAAGTAAGCTCTTCAAATAGCACAAGTCCAATCTTTTTTAAAAATAAAAAATATAGTATGACTTAATATTTCACAAGCACCAAGAGAGTGTCAACCCATGTACAAAAAAGTATTTACATGTTAATTAGAATATCAATGAGGTCTCCAAAATCCTCCATTATATAAAGAGAATGACCGATTACCAAAAAACTCAAGGTTTGAAATCATCTATCTCTAAACCTATCAAATTCATCTTCTAACCCCCTTAAAAGCTCTCTTATTCATCTCGTTCTACACCACCCAAAGATAGCAATGGGAATGAGATTCACACTTTTATTCCCTCCACTAATACCCCTCTAGGCCTGAATCTCTTCTCTTACCGAAGCAGATATTACCCAACTAATCCCCAGTACTCTGTAAGCCATAGTTCATAACTTATATGCAAGACGCACCAAAGAAAGATGTGATTACAAGATTATGTCTCCCTCTTGCATAAAAAACAACTGTTCACCAAAATCTTTCCCCTCCTCATCAGCTTGTTGATAGTAAGTATACACCCATAACCTAGTTCCTATTCAAAGAATGCACTACCTCATGAAGCATTAACCTTCTACATTTGTTGAAAAAGAACATTGGTTTCTGTGGTGTCATTCTTGGTCAAATATCTATAAAAAGAACTCAGTGAGAAAGACCCTCTAGCATTAGGACTCCATATTTTTTGGTCATTACTCCCATTAATTGATGCGGAGGAGTGAGTACACTAAGGAGAGTTTCATAATCATTAATTTCTCAATCATTAAGATTTCTCATAACTTCCACATGTCATTCCCTTTCCCCCTATTATCCTTGAAAAACTCAAGAACCGTGAGCCCTTATAGCATGCAATTGTATAGATATGGGGAAATTGATCTTTGCGATCACTTTCCAAGCCAATAGTCCTGCCAAAAGTTGATTTTGACCCTAATGTCAACCATCCACCTGTTATAATCCGTAAATCTCCACATCCATGTTCAATGTGGTGCAATCAATGCTCTGGAGTATCATCCTCTATCCATGATACCGAACTTCGCCACTATTACCCTCCAACATAGGATGTCGTCTTCTTTTGTGAATCTTCATAGCCATTTATTCAGTAAAGTCATATTCATCTCTACTAAAGATCTCAACCCCAAATCACCCTAAGATATTAGCATTTTGATCTCATTCCATGCCACCAAATGATACATA